TTCCAGTCGTTTAACGAAACGTAGGAATTTACATAAACGAGAATTAATAATAATTTGATGAACGTTAAACGCAGTTAAGGATGTATTGGCTATACAGTCANCATGAATTGATTTACAATTTTACAGATAGTTTTTTAATAGTAATAGGAATCTATAACAACAAATTCAATCGTTTAAGTATACAGCCTATATATCCTTAATCAGTGATGCACCTAATATGTATACGTGCATTTAGATATGTATGAATTTGATACGGCAGAATTGATACACTATAATAATGATTATTCGTATCTCTATCCGTCCGCCGCGTCCCCTTCGCTACTAATTTTCCGCATGATATAGTTAGTGATTTTGCCTCGCGAAGCGCGAAATCGTCAGATAAGCAACCCCCGGGGACCGTACGTAAGGTTGACATTAAACGTCACTCACTTATGTCAGTGAGTGGCAGTGGCAGCGGAAATTCGCACGTATGAGACCGATACCAATAATATACTGGGCATTTCGTATTACCAAACAAATTAAATCGAACTTCTGCCGTTCCGTCGGGACGACGATTGCAGGTTCATTAATTCTACGACGTAAGATCTTTTTATTGCCATTTCTCGACTTCATCAAATGCTCGCGAAGACGTCGAGCAGAGCGAGGAAAGCTAACGCATGAAACGGGGTGCGAGTCGACATAAAATAACGTAACGCGTGTCCGAATTCCCACGCGACGACGACGTCGAAGGATCCAAAGGGGGGTCACCGTTGCGCCCCTATTTCGTTCGGTGATCTCGCGATTTTTCAATTTTATAATCAACAGAAGGTCGCATGTTCTGACGTTCGTTAGAACGAGAACAGCAAAGAGAAAGACGTCCTCCGTTCCTTTCGTTTCGTTGGAATTGTAAACAAAAGTCAGAAGAGTCATTGGACGAAAGAGGAAAAGAAAAATGTGGAAAGTAGAAGGGGCCTAAATAGGGGATGAAGGGAAAGTAGAATCGGAGGGAGGAGGGAGGTAATCTTTGCTCGTTGAATTTTGATCCTCCCAGCCTTTACTGTGTCACGATTCTCTCGCTGTACCTATATGTACAGTATACGTAGGTATATACTATGTACGCCGCTACATAAAGTGTATGTAGTAAATATGCTTCCTCTCACGAGCGTTTACTATAATTAGAATCACCCTAATTAACGGGCAAACGTTATTAATCCTCCGGCTTGACCTTTCGCACTCCCCGTTAAGAAATTTCCTCCCCTCCTCTTTTTTCCCCGTCTGATTTCTACTTCACCCAGCGATTCTCTCGTGGAACTTTTACCAGTTCTCAACGAGATTAAAAATTACTGATCGCACGGAGTATCACTCGTTCTTATTTCTCGAGAAGTTATAACACGTTCCGCTGCGCTTTCTTATTTATTCCACTCGATCTCTGCCGTTTCGATTCCCACGCTCCACTTTAAAATTGGGGAGGTAAACCAGCCACCTCGCTCCTTTCAAATTGAGAATCAAACCGAGCCCCTTCGAAATGGAAGAACCAGCGAGAGGGAGGGAATGAGCGCGGTGGCTTACCAAAGCTTATTTTTTAATTTCGCTTCAATATGTCCCTGGCACTCGAGAATGTTTGTCCAATAAGTTTTAAATTATTATTTCGATACGACTCCCTCGTAGATCCGTGCGAACACTGCTTCCTGGTTCAGTCGTTGTTTCTCTTATTTAAATAAGGGTGAAATCACGTGACCGACGAGAGCTCTCCTCGCTGTTCTGGAGCTCACTCCAACCGAGCGCTCTGATTGGTCCGTGTTTTTCGTTAATAACTCAGTAACCAAGTCCCATTCTGCATTTTGCTAAAGGAAATTGTTGTTCACTATGACTCTCCCAATCTGCCATTTTCGGCTTTAACACTTTTTCTGGGACTTCTCCTGTACACCAATACCTCACTTTGCGTCGTGGTTACGTTCCAAAAAAACACGACGCAAAGTGAATTAAGATTTTCTATAGCAAACCATGTAAAGATCGAAGATAGGTTCCAGGGTTACGAAAATACTACTTTTTAAAAAGAAAATTGAACAAAGTAAACATTTAAAAAACAAAAATATGTACATTACAACACACTACGTAATTGAAACTGAACTCTAAAATTAGCAAAACAAAGTGAAAATAAAACTGTATTAAAATTGCGTTGATTTTTAGTTAGAAAGGGAATCCCCGTGTTTTGATGGCGTGGCGCAATTAGAAACAAAAGTGTTGCCATCTTTTAGAAAAAAAA